AACGGCAGAGCCACGACATTGTGGGGCTGAAATTCAAATGTTGATGCCCTAACCCCCAGCACCCCAGAGTGTTTGCAGATAAGGCCTTTAAAGAGGTGACTGGGCTAAAAAGAAGCTGTTAAGATGAGCCATAATCCAATCTGATACGTGTCCTTATGAGAAAAGAAAATGGAAACACAGAGATGAGGCACCAGGGATGCCCACCCAGAGAAGGACCGTGTGTGCACAGGGAGAGCCAGCCATGTGCAAGCCACAGAGGCCGCAGTAGACACCAGAGCTCTGGACACATTGGTTTTGAACTTGGATCCTCCAGCTCTGCGAGAAAACACATTTCTGTTACGCTGCCCGTCTGTGGCATACTGTAGGGCAGCCCAAAGATTCAGTTCAGAGCCAGGCACCGAGGGGTCATCTTAGACTCCTCCCTCTAATGAGCGCTATTTCCTGTCATCTTCTAAAATGAACCTCCAGCCCTCGCCAGTTTGGCTCAGTGGATAGAACAGGGGTCCTCAAACTACGGCCTGCAGGCCACATGCAAATACAAATATTGTATTTGTCCCCGTTTTGTTTTTTTACTTCAAAATAAGATATATGCAGTGTGCATAGGAATTTATTCATAGTTTTTTTTTAAAACTATAGTCCGGCCCTCCAACGGTTTGAGGGACAGTGAACTGGCCGCCTGTTTAAAAAGTTTGAGGACCCCTGGGAAAGAGCACTGGCCTGTAGACTGAAGGGTCCTGGGTTCAATTCCAGTCAAGGGCATGTACCTTGGTTGCAGGCACACCTCCAGTACGGGGCGTGCAGGAGGCAGCCAATCAATGATTCTCTCTCATCATTGATGTTTCTCTCTCCCTCTCCCTTCCTCTCTAAAATCAGTAAAAATATATTTAAAAAATAAACCTTCAACTTGTCCCTCCTGCCTCTGGCCACTGCTGATGCCTCACACCCCAGCACTGCATCGTCCTGGAGCCTGTCTTCTGCCTCTTGGGTCACCCCTCAGACACACGCCTCTGCTACGTAAACAATGATTTCCAAAACTCAAGTGTCGTCCCATTCCTGTGGGACACACAGCCGGCAGGTTCCCTTCTGCCTTTAAAAAGGTTCCTTATCATGGCACACAAGGTCCTTTGGCACCTGGCCTGTGTCTACTTTTGAACTCCGTTGTTATTAAGTTTAAGGGAAGTTGTGAAGTTTCATCTGCTGTGCTTAATCCCAGGTCTCTTGATTGGCACAGGGCACTTAACTGCTCATACTACTATGTAAGGAACTTTACCTAATAGTTACTTTTAAAGAATCCACGTAAAAAATAACTTCCAAAGCAATCTTAGCCATCGAAGGCAATGCAATGTGTGGGCCTTAATGGAATCCTGATTCAAATAAATCAATTGTTAAAAACACACACATCTGAGATGAGCAGAAAATCTAACCAAAACTAGGTAACAGATAAAGAATTACTAATTTTGTAAGGTATAGCAAATGGTATTGTGGATATCTTGCAAAGGAAAAAGAAACCTTCCCTCTTAGAAACCACACTTGTTACAGGTATACTGGCATGACACCTGAAATCTGCTTAAAATTATTTTGTGGGGGGAGAAGTCCACTTGGGCTGCTACCACGAAGTGCTATACTCTGAGTGGCTTCTAAACAACAAATGTATTCCTCCCGTTCTGGGGGCTGGGACGTCCACGACCAGGCCCGGCAGGTCCGTCTCATGAAGACAAGCCTCCTGGCTCCTGTTCTCCGGGAGCCTCGCGTGGGAGAAGGGGAGGGAGCTCGCTCTCACAGGGCACCAATCCCACTCGCGAGGGCTCCATCTAGGCCGACCACCTCCCAACACCATGACAACGGGGTTAGGCCTGAAGCTGTAAAGTGTGGTCGGACACAGACATTCAGTCCATTGCAGGGACCAAAAGGAACTGATGAGCCCTGGCCAGTGTGGCTCAGTTGGTTGAGCATCGTCCCAGGCACCAAAAGGTTGCTGGTTCCATCCCCTGTTGGGGGTGTGGGAGGGAGGGCAACTGATCGGTGTCCTCTATCCCATTGATGTTTCTCTCAAATCAATAAAATTTAAAAAAAAAGATTTAAAAAACACACCATACTTTAAAAAAAAAAAAAGAATTGATGAAACAAGACTGCCAAAATGTTAACAACTGTTGAATCTTGGTGATAGATACATGAGCTTCATCATAATGTACCTTCTATGTATATATTTGAAGTTTTCCTAGTAAACATCATTAAAAAGAGAACAAAGTCATTACATAAAGGGGTAAAAAAAAGTCTTAAACCTCTTCTCCACAGCAGAAAAACTTCTTAAAGAAAACGGTGTATTTTTCCACGAAGAAGAGCCCGAGTAAGGGAGAAGCTCCGGTGCTGCGCTCACCTTCGCCACCCGCGGTCGATGAGGTCCTGGTAGTCCTGCACCGTCATGGAGTGCGCCCACATGCCTGGAAGACAGACAAGCGGCACGTCACCGCAGCAGCACGGACTCTGCTGTACACATTCAAAGCAGCTTTGGTTCTTTTAACGTGAATACAGAAGAAAAGAAAGAAAACCGAGGCATCACTGGAGGAACCAAAGTTTGCACATTTTATACTTGTTGGTTTGACATAATACAAATGGAAATGACGATATGTTCTCCTTAATTAAAAAACATACACGAGCCGAACCGGTTTGGCTCAGAGTGTCGGCCTGTGGACTGGAGGGTCCCGGGTTCGATTCCGGTCAGGGGCATGTGCCTTGGTTGTGGGCACATCCCCGGTGGGGAGCGTGCAGAAGGCAGCTGTTCAATTTCTCTCATCGATGTTTCTAGCTCTCTATCCCTCTCCCTTCTTCTTTGTGAAAAATCAATAAAATATATATTTTAAAAAATAAAAAAATAAAAATAAATAAAAAACACACACGAGTGATTACATTTAATTCAGGATTAGTCATACATTCAGCTCCTCACTGCAATCAGGTTACATCACACCTTTAAACAATAACAACATCCCCAACAACCTAAGCTAGTCTCTTCGGAAAAATTAGACAGCAAACGTTTCCTGTGCATATGAATTCTCCTGATTTCCATACATGTTTACACTGGAAACAGGACAAAAACATAACAATATTCCTTTTAAGTACAAAAACTAAAATGCAGTATAAAAACCGGAGGTAAGGCTGATGCCTAGGACCGGGAAGGCGATCCCGGGCGGAAGCTTTCCGATGTGCGGTGACCACAGAAAACCAAGCCCCGGGCGCAGAGGCGGCCACGGAGGCGGGTGTGGAAAGCGGCACGGGCTCCTGTTGCAACCGGAGGGTGCATGGGGTGCGGACGGGGGGGGGCAGCCCCCGGCCAGCGACTCACAAACCCGCTAAGAGGTTAGGGAGACCCGACTATCGCTCCCGGCCACACGCGGCGGCGGCGGTGCTCAGGTCTGAGGGGGATCTTCGCCCTCGGCGAACGCCGGCACCGGTGCGCTCCGTGTCTTCTC